TGACACACAGATCGGCAGAGTGGTGTATAATGCTGTGGAGAGGGCAGTCATACAGATCTGGATCTCTTGATAGGCAGGACCCATTCAAACAAAATGCATGTTGATATAGCCAAATGCAAGGTCATACATCTAGGAATAAAGAATGCAGTGATTTTGAAAAGGATCTAGCAATCATACTGAGCAAACAACTGAACATGAACCCGCTGTGCAATGCTGTGGCAAAAATGACAAATGCAACCTTGGATGTATAAACAGAGTAGTGAATAGGAGTAGGGAAATGATTTTATTTCTGTTTATGGCACAGGTAGGACCAATACTGGAGTACTGCATATAGTTCTGGTGTGCCCATTGTAAAAAGGATGATGAAAAATTGCAGAGTGCAGTGACGAGCCATCAAAATGATTCAAGGACCGGATTCTTACAATGAGAGACTTAAACAGCTCATTGTGTTTAGTTTATCAAGAAAAAGACTGAGAAGTGACTTGATTACAGTGTATAAGTATCTTCACAGGAAGAAAAGAGTGGGTACTAAAGGACTCGTTAATGAAGAGAGAAATAACAAGAACCAATGGCTAGATGTTAAAGCCAGACAAATTCAAATTAGAAATAAGGCATAACAGTGAGGGTGATTAACTATTGGAACAAACTACGATGGGAAGTGGTGAATTCTACATCTTGAAGTTTTCAAATCAAGACTAGATGCCTTGCTGGAAGTTATGCTTCAATCAAACACAAGTTGTTGGGCTCAATATAGGAGTGACTGGATGAAATTATATGGCCCGAGTTATACAGGAGGTCAGACTAGGTGATCTAACAATCCCTTCAAGACTTAAAATCTATTACATTTAAATTCATTCTTCAGTCTATACCATAGCTAAGAAACACAGGTCCAAAGAGGAGTGAGAAACCTCATGGAGGTAACAGGCTAGCTACATACTTAATCAATGTTAACTATCCTCACAAACTCCAAAGAGGTCAGTAGAATTATACTGATATAACTTACAACAGAATTTGCCCTGGTATATTTTACAGAATCTGTTTTTTTTGTTTAAATTTTGTAATAAATATGCACCCACCTCACTACAACACTTTTCTATGGCATGTGGGAACAGGAATTCATGAATGACAGAGATGTGGTTATACCATATTTAGGGCCAGGATTTTCAAAAGTGCCCCGGTGACTTAGGGGCATATCTCATTGAAAGTCAAAGGGACTTGTGCTCTTCATCACTTAGCTGTTTTTGGACCATTCTACACCAAAAGCCCATGGAAGTCAATGGGAGTCTTTGGTTTACCCTTAATCTACAATGAGATTATGATTGGCAGATATATGGCTCAGTCTGGACCCACATTGAGTAAAGTCGATTATCAAATAGACATGAAGTCAATGCAGTACTGGTCTGGAGTTGAATGGGCAGAACTTCATGCTATAGAGTGGGGAGACAATAGCCCTTCTTCTGACAATGCTGATGCAAATGAACCTGTAATTCAGTACTGGGCAACTCCCTATCAAGAAAATTGACAGTGTGGGAGAGTTCAGAGAACAAGCAACAAAAATAATACTGGAGTTCTTGAGTTGACTTAGACTGAAGGAGCTAATTACCTATAGCTTGGCTAAGAGGTGGCTCCTGGAGAACATAATCATCTATGGATATCTGAAGGACGTTAGCACCATGGAGAGAGCAATTATTAAGGCTTGTCTGAGGAGGTATAACTAGGAGTCGATTCCTGACACTAAAGGTTAGATTGAGCTTATTATTTGCATTACTGTAGCACCTGGGAGTCCTAGTCATGGACCATGACCCCATTGTGCTAGACACTGTACAAATCCTCAACTCAAAGATGACCCCTGCCCCAAAGAATCTTTTAGACTCAGCCCTCTGTGAAGGGGAAGCATGCTGCCCTAGGAAGGAATTCTGGCTGTCCTCTGACCTGGAAAATAAACTCTGTTTTCAGAGTGCAGCCCACCTCCTCCCTCTTGCCTGTCCAGCTCTTCCTATCCTTCGCTGTCCTCTCTCTGCCCACTTAGCTACAGAAGGCAGGACAGACTGGGCACAGAGTCCTTGCTCTTCCCCTCTGCTCCCGTAGCGCCGATCAGAGTAGGTCTATGCAGCTGTGCAGGTCACTTTGGAAATCAAGCTGTCCATTTTGGTGCCTAGATGTGGACCCAGAAGCTGAAACTTTAGGCACCTAATTTTGAAAATCTCAGACAATGACTCTACTCCCTGTTCTGTTATTGCATCCTGTGTGACATCGGGCAAGTCGTTTAACCTCTCCGGGCTTACTTATCCTCCAATTTGCACCAGTGGCTTCAATGGAGCTATTTTTGATTGACCTCAGGTGAGATGAGAAGCAGTTATGCTCTGTGCCTCAGTTTCCCAATCTGTAAAATTGGGATTAAACCATTTCCCTACTTGACAGTGGTCATGTGAGGATAAATTCATTAATGTTTGTCAGATACAATAGCGATGGAGGCCAGATACCTGGATACAAAAGCATTGTGGATTAAATATGGTTTAAGAAGAAATTAAAAAGAAGAAATCTATGCACATGAGGATGGAGACTGTTCCTGGCATATTGGGCAAATATGAAATGTAAAAGAAATGCATTTAATACATTTGTGAAAAAATGTTATGTTTTAAAATGCCTTTATATTACATCAAATTTAATTAATTTGTGTGTTACACTTTTCCCCACCTGACAATTTACTTTCACTAAGTGATAAAGAAGCAATTGTGAGTGTTTAACCTGCATCAAAGACAAAACCAATTTAGCTCCTTTCACTTAGCTTGCTTTGGCAGTACAAATCAGCACCGCACAGCCAGAGAGTGGGCATTTTTTGTTTGTCTGCAAAACAAATATTGTAAGTAGATCTTAATGCACTGGCAATATGCTATTGCCCTGGTAATGGGCCAAAGCATTAATATACACTTGAGAAAGTACATTTCCTTTCCAGAGGGCAAAGGTTGGCTCAGAAATTACACTCAGTAATTGAGTAATAGAGTCTTACTTTTCTTGACCTTGATGTGCAAGCAAAGAGCCCATGCTGAGGATTGCATCAGTGTTAGGAGATGCACACCTGTCTCCTGAATAAGCACAATGCACAGGAAACTAACGAGGGACCTTATTAAAAGTCTTTGAGACAGACCATAATGTTAGTAATGCCGCTGTACCAGAAGCCCGTTGAAAAGCAGAAAATAGGGGAACCCTCCCAACAGAGTTTATAATAGGCGAGATTCTGCCACTCAGCACCTTTCTCTGCAAGAATTCCCATTGGTGAGCTAGGAGGACAGGCCCTAGTTTGCTCATGTTGAATAGCACTGTGATGTTGCACTCTATAGGATTTTATTACAATACGCTAACGAGTGTGAATATAATGTAACTGGAATATGCTTCATGCAAAAGGTCTCTTGTAAGGTACCATTACAAAGCTTATAATCTACTGAGTGTGGTCATCCTATTTGTATAAATGTATAAATGTATCTGAAACTAGAAATATGAAATATAACTTTGAGGGCCCTATTGTAATTATGCAAAGTGTGGGCCATTAATGGTGGTTTGGAATCTTGATGGCGCCGATCAACCAGGACAATTGTCTGTAGCTGGCTCTGTTTTACTTGTAAGTCTTCCTGTGTACGTGTGTGCTGGCAAGTGGGTAATGAAGTCTTACAGTGACATGTGATCATGTCACCTGAACTGGAATCCATCTTTAACCTGGTGTTTTTCCATTGAGAAGGGGAGAAGGGGACCCAGAGGGACAAAGGATTCCCGCCTTATGCAAAAAATATATAAGTGGGTGGAACAGAACAAAGGTGAGCAGCCATCATGAGGAATCCCCTAGCTACCTCCTGAGCTGGAACAAGGGCTGTACCAGGGGAAAGGATTGTACCCAGACTAGGAAGGCATCGAGTCGGTGAAAGAAACGCATCGAAACATCTCTGAGGGTGAGATTTTTATCTGTATTCAGTTTTATTACTGTATTAGGCTTAGATTGGTGTGTTTTATTTTATTTTACTTGGTAATTCACTTTGTTCTGTCTGTTACTACTTGGAACCACTTACATCTTACTTTCTGTATTTAATAAAATCACTTTTTACTTATTAATTGATCCAGAGTATGTATTAATACCTGGGGGGGGGAGGGCAAACATCTGTGCATATCTCTCTATCAGTGTTATAGAGGGTGAACAATTTATGAGTTTACCCCGTATAGGCTTTATACAGGGTAAAATGGATTTATTTGGGGTTTGGACCCCATTGGGAGTTGGGCATCTGAGTGTTAAAGACAGGAACACTTCTGTAAGCTGCTTTCAGTTAAGTCTGCAGCTTTGGGGTACGTGGTTCAGACCCTGGGTCTGTATTGGAGCAGACTGGCGTGTCTGGCTCAACAAGACAAGGTGCTGGAGTCCCAAGCTGGCAGGGAAAGCAGGGGCAGAAGTAGTCTTGGCATATCAGTTGGCAGTTCCCAAGGGGGTTTCTGTGATCCAACCCGTCACAAGCACCTAATTCCACAAGTCACGCCATTGTCTCCAATGGGATTATATGTGGAGTTAGGTATTATCTAACATGAACAAGGGAATCAAAATGTGACCCGAAGTAACAATACTTGGTGAATATGATGGCTGGGCAAAGAAAGGCCAGTGACAATAATAAATCTTTGAACCTTTGCCCAACTCTTAGAATCAAACTCTAAATAAATCTTTGAGTTTTTTAAAATGTTCAGATCAGTCGATTTCCCTTCCAGTTTTCATCTTGGAGCAGAAGGAGATGACTCTCTAGACATCTTGTAAGAAAGCCTGCTCTCATGAGATTCTCAGCCTAGTTTTGCAAACACATGAGGTTCAGATGAGCATATGAACTTTTGGATGCTTATCTGAACTGAAACCTAACTGCAGACCTTTGGAGCTTCACCCATCCCTAGTGGCTATGTCCAATCTCAGCGGGTGAGGAATTGTAAATGTAACATCACGACCCTTTGAAAATGAACTGCATTTAACTCACGTGTGCTAGTCGATCAAATCTGGCAAAGAGTTCATTCAGCATTCGGACCAGCTCTTGTGCTGACAAGGTTGTGGAGAGGTTGGTGAAACCTTTAACATCTGCAAAAAGAATGCTAAACAAAGAAAGGGAAAGGATATTAATATTTCAGTCCATTTCTGCCAGTAATTGGCATGATAAATACAAACAGTAATCCTGTGTATAGTAATTAATATGGACTCAGCATATGTGAAAAAGCAAGAGGCAAATAGCCAATGTCTGGCCAGGGTGTAATTTAAGGAGAGTGGGAAAATTCATTAGCTCAGACACAGGGAAGGTACATTTTAAAGTTATTCTGTCTTTGCTATGGCCCTTACTCACTGGACTATTTGCAGTACAAAGAACTAGTATTAAAAGTACTAAAATATGAGCACAAAAGTACTAAAAAACTGCTTCATAAAAGAATGCTATAGTAATTTTCCTACTTTGTGTTTCTATAGGCCCTTTCATCAGAGGAGTCTCATATCACTTATAAAGCACTAACTAAACCTTTATAATTAGCATAATTATCCCATTTTATGAGTGAGGAGACAGAGACACAAGGGGGTTAAAGCCCAGATCCTCAAAGATAGTTAGGTGTCTAACGCCCATTGAAATCAATGGGAATTAGGCACCTAAATGCCTTCGAGCACTGGGGCCTAAGTGACGTGTCCAAGGTTATGCAGCAAGTTAGCGTGGCAGAGCTGGGAACGGAGGGTACAGAGAATGATCTAATGGATAGAGCACTACACTGGGACTTGGGAGACCTGGGGCCAACTCCTGGGTCAGCCACAGACTTCCTGTGTGGCCCATAGAGGTGCTGTGAGGATAAAATCCATTAATGATCGTGAGGTGCTCAGATGCTATGGTGATGAGGGCCATATAAGTTGATAGACAGAAACCCAGAAGTCTGACTTCCAGTCTTCAGCCACTAGTTGACTCTGTTCCTCACTATATAGACTGGAACTTGTCTGGGTACACTGCCTTTCTTTCTGGGGACGCAGTGACAGCTTGACACACTTCATTCTTTGAGGCAGGGCTTCAGGTCTAGCTCAGTGCTAGACTCACCTGGGGGAACATAGGTTACTTTATGACTCTCCAATGCTGGGGCTGTCAGCCCTGCTCTAATATGTGCTCAGCAGCCAACAGCCCAAAGGGCCATTTCAGCAACCAGATATGGACAGAGCAAAAAGGGATGGATCGCTGTCCTCTATTCCTACAACAACCACCTTAAATTTAAGTGTGCGGGGAGGGAAAAGGCTTTAACAGTGCTTAAGCACATACAGACACACTTGCCCAAATAGTCTGTTGTATCTAAGGCTATGTCTACACTACAACCTATGTCGGCATAACTTATGTCACTCAGGGGTTTGAAAAAACCACCCCCGGATCAACATAAGTTACACCAACATAAGTGCTCCTGTGCACGGTGCTTCTCCTGCCGACATAGCTTCTGCCACTCACAGAGGTGGTTTTATTATGCCAACAGCTTTCTCCCATCGGCATAGAGCGTCTTCACCAGATTCGCTGCAGCGGCGCAGCTCCATCAGTACAGCTGTGCCGCTGCAGCGTTGTACGTATAAATATGGCCTTAGATGCAGAATAAGAATTTCCCTCCAATTTCTGATCTAAGTATGCCAAAGCATAGAATTTGGAAGACAGAAACAAAAGACAAGGGAAGCAAGGATTTGTTTGGAGAAGAAAGTAAAATTCAACATGGAGTGTTTCAACTTGGTCCAGGACGGCAAATAATTTGAAGCAGACTTCATTAAAACTTTATAGTAAAATAACAATCCAGGGTGCAGCTTGAGATTTAGCAAAAAGTAACCCAGCTGAAGAGATTCAGAATGTTTGTTGAATAACTAAATGCTACATCCTGACTGATGCAAAAATCAGATTATGATCAGGAAGAAGGTAAAATGTGGCTAAGGATAATTCACTGCTTCCCTAGATGCCAAAGCTACTAAAGAAATTGGATGAAGGTTACTAAGAGGCTGGAAATCTAAAGAAGGACTTTTCCTAGTAGGTTCTAAAAAAAAAATGAGGGGGGGGGTAGAACATAAGTAATCAAACAGGAATGAATATTAGAAATTGACCTAAAATATATTGAAATATTTAAAAATCTAACATTTTTGTTCCTGATCATCATGATATTGTTACTACATATTTCAGGGAAAAACCCATAGGGATCTAATTTCAGAGATACTGAGCACCTGAACATCTCCCTGACTTCAATGGTTGTTGGAGCTCCGCATGGGGAGGCACTCTGTTGGACGGGTTGCAGGAAAAGAGGAACATACTTGCACACGTGGTAGCTATGTCTAGGAAATAAATGGTTTTGGCAGGAAATTATTAAAGAGATTCATCTTATGACAGAATGCCAGCGTCCTAGAGATCCCCTGACCTGCTTACTTAATGCTCCAGTAAAGGATACACACTTTCAACAGAATAACAAATTAATTTCTTTTTATAGTTAGCAGCTAGATTTTGTATTGCACATTATTGGAAAAACGTGAGCCCTTCCCCGGTGGAATTGTGGGGTAGTAAAATATGGGCTGTCCTTGTAATGGAAAAGCTTTCACACCAAGTATGTATGCAAGAGAAGTGCCCAAAAGAGAATAAGTATTTAGAGAATTGGTCACCCTTTCAAATGTACTCAGAAGAGGAGGGCTCCCAAGTAGGATGACTACCCATCCTGAATTGGGTGGGATGGTCCTGAAATGCAGAGGTCAAGTCCCAATCCTGCGCTGAATGACTCTGGGACAGCATTTGTCCCGGATTTCCTGCAGCACTGCTCCGTGCCTGGCCAAGGCTAAGGGTCTCTTCCCAGTGGGGGTGAGGGGAGCTGAGTTGGGCCTTAGCCCCCCCCCCCTCGTGTGAGGCTCCGCCCCCTTCTCCTCCTCTCTCCCCCGATGCCCCACCCCTTGGCCAGGCCAGAAGCCGGAGCCAGGCAGTAGTAAGAGCTGCCCAGGGAGCCCAGGCTGCTGTGGGGAGCCCTGGATCCTCCCCCTGCCCTGAGTGGCACACCCCAGGGGGCAGGGACATGGGCCGGGGGCTCCTCTCAGGCATCCCAGCCCACTGTCCAGGGCAGATGAAGTGGCCCAGGCTCCTTTGGCAGCTCTTATCTCTGTCCGGCTCCAGCTTCAGGGGCGGGGGCTTGGGAGGAAGAGGAGGCGTAGGGGGCAGGGACTCGGGGGAAGAGGAGGCGGCAGGGGCGGGCCACAGAGGGGGTGGGGTTCACGCATATGTCCTGCTTTTGCCTTTTGAAAAAGTGGTCACTCTACTCCCCAGCTGGCAAGCCAGAATCTTTAGCCAGGTTCTTTGAATATTTACAGATACTGAATTAGTGATGTGTGATGTACTATAATAATGTTTTATTGCAACTTTGCCTTAATAAAAAGTTTTCTTAAAAAAAAAATCAGGACCAAGGACAGCATTGAATAGTTGAGGTCTCTGTTAGCTCATGCAGAAAGAGACTAATGTCTACAGTTTTAAAGCACCCAGGGTTTGCTGTAAAGCAATAACCATTTTCAAGTGGGAGATAGGTGAAATATTTTCATTCTTCAACTCAAAACCTACAACCCTTTACTATCAGTGTTTAAAAGGCGGAGGTAGCATTACCTAAGTAACAACAATCTGCTTCCTATTTGAATTGTTCTACACAAACAGTTCCTGTAACAGAGGATGAGAAAGGGCAAAAAACTCAATTTTTATTTAGTGCTGTGTAAACCTTTTGTAAAGGTTCCGGGTACCTTCAGCCACATCCAATACAATAATATGTGTGGCTTGCTGCCAAGGCCACAGGAGTGGCAGAAAGTCAATTGACACTTTGTAAAAGTTGAACCGGCCCTTCCAAAGTTATATAGGGGCTTCATTTAAAATGCACTGGTCAGCACCGCTGACTGGGACGTTAAAAGTCCCATTGGCGGTGCTGCCCAGATAATGCAGGCTAGTGCCTATCTTTTCCGACACCACGCTGTGCCATGGAAGCGGCCAGCAGCGGGTCCGGCTTCTAGGCAGGGGGGCCATGGGGCTCCACATGCTGCCTCCACCCTGAGCACTGGCTCTGCACAATGGATTTCCGGCCAATGGGAACAGGGGGGGGTGTGGTGGAGCCAGACCTGCTGCTGGCCACTTCTGGGGCACAGCACGGTCCGCGGTGCATCCCGGCTGCACCGCTGACCGGGAGCCACTGGAGGTAAGTCCGCCCCCCAACCCTGCGCCCCAAAGTCCTGCCTCAGCCCTGAGCCCCCCCAAACCTGGAATCCCATCCTGCACCCCCAAACTCCTCATCCCCAGCCTCACCCCAGAGCCTGCATCCCCCAACCCAGAACCCCACCTCCCAGACCTGGAGCCCCTCCTGCAACCCAAACCCCTCATCCCCAGCCCAGAGCCCTGACCCCCTCCTACACACCAACCCCCTCATCCCCAGCTCCGTTGGGTAGTCTCCCCAAACCCAGAAACCCTTCCTGCACCCCAAACCCCTCATCCATGGCCCCACCCCAGAGCCTGCACCCCCAGTCCAGAGCCCTGACCCCCTCCCACACCCCAACCCCCTCATCCCCAGCTCCGTTGGGTAGCGGGCATCAATAATTTTTACTGCACCTTGAAACAGCAGTGGGTCAGTGAGTACTGCGGAACTTTTAGTGCATGGTAGCAGACTCCACATGGATAGTTATTGTGAGGCACTAGTGTGCTATAGATTTACTTCCTGTCCATATAGGCAAGCCCAAAGAGGGGAAGAGATTCTGTACACCTTGGGAGTGAAAGCTAACTATTGTGGTGCAAGTGAACGGTGGTTGTTATTTACTGACTCCCAGTGCTGGCAAGTGCATGCAAGGACTATTCCCACACCATCCCTAAGCTGTAGTTTTGTGTCCACTGGATGGAGCAACTTAGAAAAGAGAGAAATAGGAGGAGGAGAAAATGGTCATGAAGAAGCTTGATTGTATGAACACTGCAGAGAAGGGCCACTAATATGAGTTCAGGGCAACCACTTGGTAATCCTACACTTTTGACAGGGCCCCACAGTTTCTCAGCTGATTTGTTAGCTTGCAGGGAACAAGATGTTCTCCTTGAGTAGAGGGAACATACGGAGGAAAGTTCATGCTGAACTTCCCACCCATTTCTTGGCAAAGCTTGCAGACCTCCACCTTGTGAGGCTGTCCCTGAATGGGATCAAATAAAGCTCTGGCACAGTTTAGTAATGAACAAATAAACATTTCCATGTGTTGCTCCCATGTGCTAAAAAAGGCAGTGTTCAATTTGAACAGCTGTTGCAAAGGCATCCAACCAGTCTGATAAATTAGAGAAGCCTCTGAAATACTTATCTGTTCAGGAAAAACAAAACTTCCTGGTATTTCAAATACCTGATTATTGAATTGATCGAGGGGCAGAAAAAAAATACAAAACAAAACCCAATCCCCTTCTCCCCCTGAAACTGATATCCAGCTGTTAAAATAAAAGATAGGCACCTTCACTCACCTGACATTCTCATAGCGGTGAATATAGATCTTATGGAACTGGTGCTGCAAGTGCTCATCTTCCACATTGGTCATGTCGTTAATCATCTCTAGTACAACAAATCGAGGTAATACGGAGAGCACCAGCCGTTCCTGAACAAAAGCAAAAAAATACAGGATGGGCCCTTTAGACTGGGTCAGCATTAATCCTTCACAGCAAAATGACAGAGCTCTGTATTAGGAGCTTCTACTGCACGTTTAAACTTAAACTGTTTAAACATTTGAACAGTTTTGCTGGATCAGATCCTCAGTCTTGACCTCTTTTTAGAAACTCCAAATGGGGTGTTAGGCACCCATAGGCACATAATTAGTTAATGTAACTACAGAGCAATATCTATTAACAAGTGCACGGTGAGGCCTGAATCCTGCTCATCTAGAAGTCAATGGGATAACTCACATGAGTAAGGAGAGCAGGATTTGGTCCCAAATGTGACCTGACAGCAGAAGTTAAAGACACAGTATAATATAATAAAATGCCTACTTGTGCCATAATCTAAGGGGGAGATCCTCAATTGCTATATCAGCATAGCTCCATTGACTTCAGCAGAGCCATGCCAATTTACACTAGCTGAGAATGTTTAGCTGGCACTCACTATAGAGCATATTTAGCTGGCAACACCAGCCTAAATTGTGTTACTGATTTGGATATCTGCAAAAGTCTTATGTGCCATCAGCCAGCCTTTGACTCCAGAGTGATCTTCATTAACCTCAATAAGAGATGGTGAAGAAGCTGGATACCAGCTATGAATTGATATGTATTTACAATACTCTTCTTACCCAAAGGGCCAGATTACGGTGGGTGCTTGTTCATGTTTGAGAGGAGGAGGGGAAAACACAAGTTGGCTGCTGGCCTTTGTGTCACTTCTATTGCACTAATCCTGCTAATAGTGGCAGGGAAGCATGAGACCATAAGTGACAGCTGTTGGCTGAAGGAACAATGCTGACTGGAGCAGTGTAGTCCCCCACCATCTCCAACATTGCTCTGTACCTAATAGGCACAATCTGGCTGTACATGTTTTGTGGGTGGGGGAGTCTAAAGTAGATATAAGAGAGAGAGAAAATAACTTATTAACAATAAAGACATAGGGTAAAATTTTCAAATGAATCTCACTGATTTAGGAGCCCAAGACCCATGTTTCAAGAGTATCCTAGGCCAAGAGTTTCAAAAGTGACTAGTGATTTTAGATGCATTAATTTTGGGGTGCCCAATTTGAGATACATTAAAAGAGCTGGGTTTTCAGAGAGTGTTGAGCCCAGCCTTTGAAAATTAGTCTCCATTAAGATGCCTCAAGTTGAGCTCACATAGCTAATCGCTTTTGAAAACCTTTAAATTTTGGGGCAAGGGCGGGGCAGAGGTATTTGGTTTGTGTGATTAGAAAGTTGGCAACCCTAGCCCCAAATCACTTAAGCACTTTTGAAAATTTTACCCATAATCTCAGAAAGTAAGCCTAACCGTGTAATCAACAATGTCCAATGCTAACTAGTCCACTAACTAACTGCTCTCGGTAAAAAACAACTCAACACACTCAGCATTTAATATTAATAATTTTTAGACTGATCTAATTGACTAGGAACACACAGGAGTAGATTTATCTTTACTATTAGTTTATATAAAATAAAGCAGTTCAAACTGCCCAGCCTCCTGTCACAAATATAAAATTCAATTCAATGTGTCCATTATTTGGGCTACAGACCCTATCCAGATATATCCATTGGAAACAAATCTATTGGCTTATCATAGAATCACAGAAGATGAGGGTTGGAAGAGACCTCAGAAGGTCATCTAGTCCAACCCCCTACTCAAAGCAGGACCAAAACCAACTAAATCATCCCAGCCAGGGCTTTGTCAAGACAGGCCTTAAAAACCTCTAAGGATGGAGATTCCACCACCTCCCTAGGTAACCCATTCCAGTGCCTCACCACCCTCCTAGTGAAATAGTGTTTCCTAATATCCAACCTATACCTCCTCCACTGCAACTTGAGACCACTGTTCCTTGTTCTGTCATCTGCCACCACTGAGAACAGCCGAGCTCCATCCTTTTTGGAACCCCCCTTCAGGTAGTTGAAGGCTGCTATCAAATCCACCCTCACTCTTCTCTTCTGCAGATTAAACAAACCCAGTTCCCTCAGCCTCTCCTCGTAAGTCATGTGCCCCAGCCCCCTGATCATTTTCAATGCCCTCCACTGGACTCTCTCCAATTTGTCCACATCCTTTCTGTAGTAGGGGGCCCAAAACTGGATGTAATGCTCCAGATGTGGCCTCACCAGTGCCAAATAGAGGGGAATAAACACTTCCCTCGATCTGCTGGCAATGCTCCTACTAATGCAGCCCAATATGCCATTAGCCTTCTTGGCAAGAAGGGGACACTCCTGACTCATATCCAATTTCTCATCCACTGTAATCCCCAAGTCCTTTTCTGGAGAACTGCTGCTTAGCCAATCGATCCCCAGCCTGTAGCGGTGCATGGGATTCTTCCGTCCTAAGTACAGGACTCTGCAGTTGTCCTTGTTGAACCTCATCAGATTTATTTTGTCCCAATCCTCCAATTTGTCTAGGTCACTCTGGACCCTATCCCTACCCTCCAGTGTATCTACCTCTCCCCCCCACTTTGTGTCAGCCATGAACTTGCTGAGGGTGCAATCTATCCCATCATCCAGATTATTGTCTTCCCACTGTCAAGACTCCAGTTTAACCAGCTTTTGATCTAAAGGCTCACAAACAAATGTCACACTGTCTGGAGTGGCTCACAACGGTGAGTGCAAACCTCAGGGCAGACTGTCAAGAAGCAGGGCAAAACCCCTAAACTGGTTGTATGTTCTATAAGTAGATTTCACGAACCCAATCACTAGTGTGAATTCCTAAAGCATTATAACAGTCTTACCATGGAGTCCCAGACTGTCCCCTTGGGCATTCCAGTCTATCTTGCCACCTAGAGAAGCTGGACTTTGTGATAGATGATTGCTTTACACAAAAAATTATAACAATATTCATCAATATTCAACAATATTCATAATATTCATATTCATTTGGCAGCCTCCAAAACTGTGGAATGTTTTTTTGGGTCATAAATGACTGCCTTCAGCTCCTCTGTAACCACCCATAACAATTGCATCTGGGCCGTCAGCTCGTCAGTTTTTCATAATTACCTTCAGGCCTGACCCCATTATTCATTTTCTCATAAAATTGCACATTTTATGCACATGTATGATATTGTCAAACATTTTAAGACTTCTATAGTTCAATTGATAGGATTCGGGGCAATCTTAAACCTTTTGAATACATTTCCTTTAAATTTCTTATACACCATAGGTTTCAGAGTGGTAGCTGTGTTAGTCTGTATCAGCAAAAAGAACGAGGAGTACTTGTGTCACCTTAAAAAGAAGAACAGGAGGACTTGTGTCACCTTAGAGACTAATAAATTTATTTGGGCATAAGCTTTCGTGGGCTAAATCTCACTTCAGTGGGTTTTAGCCCATGAAAACTTATGCCCAAATAAATTTGTTAGTCCCTAAGGTGACACAAGTACTCCTCGTTCTTTTTACACACCATAGCATCAGCCTCCTCCATATCATTAAAAACTTCTCTTGCCTTCCCAGTTAATCTTGTCAAGAGGATAGGCATTCACTTATCCTCTGGGATCTTGTGGATCCCACATAGTCTTTCAAAGGTGGATAGGAACTCTTCTATACAGCCAGTCTCATTATAAAATGGGCAGGTTTCTCCCACTCCCTTGTGTTGTGTGGAGGGAGGCGGGGAGTATACTTGCTGACTGAGGAAGCTCCTCTTGCTGCTCCAGTACTCTGAGCTGCAATGTGTGAGCTCTCTCCTCAGCTTCTAGTTGTTCCATGCACAGGGACGGCTCCAGGCACCAGCTTAACAAGCAGGTGCTTGGGGCGGCCAAGGGAAAGGGGCGGCACCTGCGGCAATTCGGGGGCGGCAGGTCCCTCACTCCCTCTAGGAGCGAAGGACCTGCCGCTGAACTGCTGCCGCCGATCGCGGCTTTTGTTTTTTGCTTTGGGCGGCAGAAATGCTGGAGCCGGCCCTGTCCATGCATCTTTGGTGGGCTTTCTCCTCAATTTTAGGCTTGGCTGTGACTGCTGCTATATGTTCCATGTATCTGTGGTGGGTTCTGTCCTCAGCCTCTTGGATTTGTTTGGTCTCCTTGATCCACAGTTCTACCATTAGTCACTAGCGCTCACGTTCTTCCTGGCCTGCCCTGTACAGCAGTTGAGCCAGTTCCACTGCAGCAGACTCTAAGGCATCTGGAGTAGCAGGGTGCTTGGATGCCTGGTCAGAACTTATGAGGAAAGCTCTTGGCTCCCCATCTGGGGCTTTCTTTTTATGGGATATTCTCTTCACTTTACATAACTTTGCAGGGTCTTGTGCCTCAGAATAATCACTTGCTCCTCTTTGTGGGTTTGCCGGGAGCAATCAATGAAGTCCTTGTTCTTTGACGTTTTACAATGGCCCATTTGGATTCAACAGGCCTTCCTGAGGGGCTGGAGATAACCCCTCCTTGTGGTGCAAACCAGTATTACATTTTTGGTTATTTTTCCTTCCTGACTGGATTCACAGTTTCAGAGCAAAGTTTTACAGTTACAGAACAAACACGTAAGCACTGCCTTATAGCATGGGTTACAGATATTATTAGTGAGATTAATGCATGTCACCACTTACAAGCATTTCAAAGTCCAAAAACTAAACAAATTATTACAAGTCTAATACCTATTTTAGTATTACTAACATACAGGCAAGTCAGAGTAGTTTCCAGCTATGCATTTGATAGTGTTCACTTGAAGCCTAGGGACCTTGGCGTGAGCTGGCACCTGGTCTACAAGCATCACAGCAGCATATTAGGACAAGATGAAGAGAAACATGCCGATTCTTTAAGCTGCTTATCACCAAATTTCAGCTGATGATGATGTTGGATGATATGAGACAAGGCCAGGGAATGCCATATACGAACCTGAGATCAGACAAACCCAGAGATGATAATGAGAGGAAGGATGTGCATGAAATATGCCCACCCATGCTACAACTGCAGAGTAAATAGACATAGGGGATCATGCATATCTGTATGGATTTTTAAGCA